ATATAATATCTGAGAACTTTTCTTATCTCAAGTATCTATCTATATTGCTGTACAATTTAATAATGTTTTATGGAAGATATATGGGAAAGCTTAGGTGAAAAACGTTGATTATAGAAATTCCAAGTAAAAACTGAGCACAAATTTCCATTCTTACCATTTGATCTATATATAAGGAATGTTTTCTCTCTGAGTATATGACTTATCAGATTTAAGAATGCATCTACAGCATAAACAAATTGAATACTGCAGCGGGAATACCTTTACCCTAAAGAACCCCAGTTATTTGGAGGTTATTCATTGGCTTTGGAGCTATGTACAGCAGATCTTTTAAAGACTGTCTTATCTAATTGTGATTACAAAAAGCGGGAATACCTGTAGTCTGCAAAGTACCACATGTTTGTAGGTTATTCATTGGCTTACGATCTGTGTACATATGATCTTGCCATGGCATTCTATCGCTTATCTTATTTTGATTACAGAAGGCAAGAATGCCTCTACTCCATATGCTCACAATTTTCTACAGATATTATACAAATTATCTTTCAGCCATATTCTTTGAAATAAAAAAAATATAAATAAAAACATTTCATTAATATTATTTTTGTAACTCAATATGCGATAAACTGTGGGCCAAGCTAACCGCTAATTTTGTTGTTGCCAAACGTCAACCGTTACCGGCTCAAACTGGTCCAAAGCGAATCTTTTGGAAACACTCGCCTTATCTAAAACTTTGAAAGCGCTGTGAGTCAGCGAAAGGAAAGAACAATTTAAAAAGCGTCAACGAACTGAATCTGTTGTTATTTTTTTTTTCTGTTTTTCTATTCTTTTTTTTTCATTCTAATTTCCACAAAACAAAACAAAAAGTAACAAAAGAGAAACACAACAGTTTTGATTCAGTTTGTGAATAAGAGAATAACAATTACATTCAGTTAGTTTCCAGCTGAACAATCGAGTGAACGTCTCATTCACAGCTATCTCGAGTGCTGCACAGCTAACTGCTGCTGCTGCTGCTGCTGCTGCTGCTGCTGCTGCTCCTCTTCCTCCCCCACTTCCGCCCCTTGCTGCCACTTGATGCTCTATTTATGGCATGTGCGTCATACGCGCTGAATGACAGGTGCAAAAACAAAGGTGCAATGTCCAAAGCCCTTGCAACGCGCTGCCTTTTCTAATTGCCATACAGCCAGAGTGGCCCAGAGTAGCTCCACCTCACTCTCTCTCTCACTCTCTCTTTCCCCCCACTTCTCTTCTCTCCTTTACTCTCTTCCAGTTGACCTTTGCCCTTTTGCAGTGGTATATGCAGTACTGCAAACATATAGTTTATATATATGTCATGTATATATATATGTTATATATCTATATATGCTGCAGCATTTTGGCCTAAATTGGCTTCTGTAATCTGGCTCAAGGTGCTATTTTCGAGTGCGGCTGATAACAAAAGCGCAGCACAATGAACATGCTACACACGCACACCAGTGCAAACACACGTGCACACACACACTCACACACCCACTATCTTTCTCTCGCTTCCTCACACCTTCTCAAACAATCAACGCACAGCATTATATAAGAGCAATTTTATATATACACCTTGATAAATTCATCTGCAAATTGTTTGCATTTTAATTCACAATCTGAACAGAGTTAGGGTATGCACAACTAGTAAGATACCCAATGAAAATGCTAGCGTGAGCTGCTAAAGAGAAATAAAATATATTCCCATTAGCGAGCAATCTACAGTGATAAATATGAAGTAAACGATTGGGTTAGGGGAATATACGACTGGGGAGAGTCAAGTAAATTAATGACCGCAGCTTGGCTTTCAGCGTATACTAGAGTTAAAACTAGTCAATGAGAATTGTCAGCAAAATAGTTATTAGCAGGCAAATTCCACAGTTTGGGCTACATTATATAGACCAGGGAAACACCCCATTCAAACAAACAAATTGGAATAATTTGTATAAAAATGTTTTTACCAACTGCGTTATTTGTTTTAGCAAGTGCGTATTAGAGATCAAAAAACACGGAATAATAACAAAATGAGCTCAGGTGAAACCTAAATGAATGTAAATCTAAAATACACAACTTGATAAATACCCAACAATGGATACTAAGGGAATCTACAAGTGATGATCGTTTTTAAATAAGAATTAATCCGTTATCAGCAAATATCTCTCCTTGGTACGTGTTCAATGTATTCCTCATTAAAATTACAAATGATTTTTAGGCACTCTTGATACGGGGAATACCCCAAAAGATTAACTCTTAAGCCCTGACTTACATAATACAAATGGTGTTTACCTGCCGAGGGACGGATAATTGATATTAAGTAAATATTTAAATTTATTGCACCTGCAATAACAGAACCCATTATTTTTCTTAAAAATATATTTGCTTATATGTATAAGAATACACAGTCAAATTAACGTTAAGACAGCTCCATTAACGCAACAGCTCTTTGGGTTCCACATGTGTAGAATTAAAAGCGAAAACTTGCTTCAATTAACTTGAAAACAGCTGAGATTATTTAACATGATTTAATGGAGCATTAATGCAGCTTGAAATCTAAATCTAAATTGTCAAAAATTTAAGTTTTTCAAAATGCTGGATTAGTTGAAAGCTCTATTCTAAAGTGCTACCATTGAAGTAATGCGTAAATATACTACACTTCCTTAGCAGATTCCAGGGAAGAGCGATAACTCCCCAGGTTATACAACTTTACAGTTGGCCTTTTAGCAAATTTTACTGTACTTTATATTGATAAGAGGTTATTTATACCCCGTATCCAATTTTATACTCCGTAACCAATCCTTACATATAGAGAAATCCTCCTTAATATACCAAAGAAGTATATCTGAAATGTTTAATAAAATTATTTAAGTAATTTAAAATGCTGACTAAGTTTCTCAATTGCATTATACAACTTGCTTCGATTTTCTTTGTATTTAAATATATATATAAAATGGCATCACGGGGTTTTTTCGCTAAAGTTTAATTACGAATTAATTATTAATTTGTATTATAAATTTTGTTGAAGTAACTTCATTCCCAGGGCTCGCTTGTTTATTTCGCCACGTCTGATCTAGTAATTCCCATCACTTGACTTGGCAAACAGAATTTCGGAGTTTGTCTTAGCTAACCCGACTGACAGTCGCGGAAGCCGTAGATCTACGTCAAAGTTGAACGTTAAATACACAAGCGTCTGGACGTGGCTTTACTGTTGTCTAACAAAAACAATACAAAGCAGATTGTTCAAAGAAAGAAACGGTTTTTCTTTGGGGATTTAGCTATAATAGAGTTGATGAACAAATTCTCTTGGAATTTGCAATTACTTCAAGATAGTTCCAGATGGGTATAGAAAACAGTAGAAGAGGGCTTGCGAAGTAGAAAATAATTCTTATCTCTTATAATTTACGCTAGTTAAAGCAAAAAGTAACTTAACAAAAGAAAACAATTTAACTTAACAAAAGTAAACGAAACTACAATGAAACAAAGAAAAATCATTAAGATGTTTTTAAGGTCTTGAACTGAATGTTAAATGCTAACTGATACATTGCGTATTATTGGAGATGCTTCAGCATCAAACTATATATGCAATATAAGCTCTTAAAAGCTAGAATTGTATAATATAGATACAAAAAGCTTTCGAGGAGTTCTCAAGGAATTCCCACAGAGTTCTCTCGTCTACCTGAATTCTATACATAATTACATAAAATGCTCTAATATTCTTCTGTATTTACTCAAAGAGCAAGAGCATGCCACATATGTGAACTACTTATTTCTTATTCAAAAAATCTGAAGTAACACTCTTGCATACTTTAGAAGAATCTCTGAAGTAAATTGACTCTGTTGAGATATCAAGATTTATGAGTTATTTATAATTAATTAAAATTAGATATGCATTTCAAGCTATTTTTTAACACGAAGAGTGTTCAGAATATACCTTATTTGTGCATACTTCTACATAAATCTATATAATGTGTATTCCAAATATGTCGATTCCAGTACTTGAAATAAACTTTGATCTCCGCTTGCTAAAGGCGTAGGCACGTATAAGATTTTATATCTTTAGCCTTTGCACTTTAAGAGATCAATGAATGCATATGTAAGGAGAGAGAGAGGAATAGTCTAAGAGTCACTCAGACTGATAAGTATATGTGGAATTGCATACTAACAGACCTACAAACAGATATAATACTTATAATCAGGCAGATAGACTTCATATATATGACACACACACAGATATACCGACAAACGAACAGGGCTAGATCAACTCAGTTTGTCATCAAAATAAATACTTTTTGAGGTTTGTTTACGTGTTACAAACATTTAAATACAAATTCAACTGACATCTGATCTTAGTAAGTACATATACTAATACTAACTATATTATATATGTTTGCTTATTAGCTATGACTACAGGCAAGAATGCATTTGAAAGTAATGAACTGGACTCAAGACAGAATGCAAAACGATTTCTTACGTTTCTTACGTTTACGTAAATGTTTACTAAATATATATAAATAAATGTATATATTATACATTACCCATATATATCCGTATATAATTGAATAGATTAAACAGTATGATGTGTTGATTTATTCGTGTTGCACATTTTGTTTACAGTTCATATTTCAGTGCTATGCCACGGCACACCCTGTATACAAGTCAAGCTGGTCTGAGCAGTATATCAAAATTGACAAATATTAAAGCTAACAAGAGAACAGCAGAGAGAGCGAGAGAAAGAGAGAGCGAGAGAGAGAGAGGGAGAGCTTAAAGTTGCTTTTGCTGTTAGTGCATATTCATTGTAAAAGCAAATTTTGTAGCCAAAGCAATAGACACATACCATTATGAGCACGTCTATGTGTGTGTGTGCCTGTGTGTGTATGTTGACTCTTGAATGAATTACGTCTTAACTTGGCTTGGCTAAATGCGCCTCGTGTACTTTAAAGCTTAAGGCAAACAAATGCCGTCAACACAACACAAAGACTTGGTCATAATCTTGCTAATAGTTCTGCATGTGTGGGTGTGTATGAGCGTGTATGAGTGTGTGTGGTCATGCGTCAGACACGATCACATCATCATCATTAAATAGTTTACATTTTCGATATTTCTGTGCCTACTAAGAGATTCAGGCTGCATTTGCCACTCGTCAATCATCAATCATCAATCGACAATCGTCAATCGGCTACGTTACGTATACGCCGCGTGTAACGTTGTTAAATGTCAGAATGAAAATGCATTGGAAATGAGTGAAACGCAAATGCCACGCCCACGGCACAGCCCACATTTAAGTGAAATAAGCAACTGCCGCGACTAAGAATTTCTATTTGTTGTACAAGTGGTTGTTGTTGTTGTTGTTGTCTATTCCTTAACTTGTTGTTGACGTTGACATGCTAGAGTCAATTAGACTATTGTAGAACGCAGTTAGTTTCTTGTTCTTGCCGGTTTTATATGTCAAGCAGTTCCGAGTCGAATCGTAATTTCGTTTTTCTACCCCCGACAATTACGTGGGCTCGAGCATGGAAAAGATAAGCGTAAAATTGCACATATCTAATAAGTTCCAGACAGTAATTGGCATTTCTCATATATAAGTGGCTTCATTGTATAATGGAAACATGAAAAACCGAGGAGTTTCTGTAAAACGATTCAACATGCATGCTCAAATCTTGAGGGATTTCCACAAAGAAAAAATCAAATTGAGAATATAAGATGTGTTAACATGCATGTTAACTATTTTACTACAAAAATTTAGTTAATTCAGTTGACTTTGACACGTTAACACGCTCGTTAAATATTTTATGAAGATTCCCTATTAAACAGTTATTTATGTTTCTTGTTGACATTTCAATTTAAGGCTGTCAAAAAATTCCTAACTGTAAGCAAAATAATGTTACCTAAATACAAATTAAATATGAAATATTTAAGTTTTTTTTTTTTTTAAGTAGACTATGAACAATTAATTATCATTTTATTTTATTATTTTAATATACTTTTCTGTGTAAGAATTTAATAATTCAACCATAAAAATTTTAGATAAAAATAAACATATATTTTGATGTTAATTAGGCTAATGTGCATGTTAAATATGAATGCTCGATGAATGTAAAGCTATATTTTATAGCCCAAATCTTAAGCATTTCAACTTTGTCACTTACATTTATGGCACCTGCGTATAGGTGACATATAACGTTTAAGAGTTCAAGTTAATTTTTTAGGTTAATGGAATTTCGCTTTCTTTTTTATGCAGCCTCAATGCTTTGGCATTGTTTTTTTCTGAAAGTCTTTGAGACTTGGAGGAGATACAGAAGGAAACCTCTGGGTCATATGGAAATTTTTGTTTTATAACAAATAAATTAGTAAAATTAAAATTAAATCACCATCAGTTGGGTTAATCAACTATGGCAAATTTCAATAAATTCTGCTTAAATACTTATATTGCATATAGTTAATAATAAATTATATAGCAATAGCAAAGCAATAACTTTAAGCTTTAATATTTAGTTTTGCATGCAAGGACCCTTTGCTGTATCGATCATGCTTTCGCAAGTTTTCTCCTACGTTGACTGTCGATTCCCAGGACATTTGCTCGACCCCCTTTCCCTGCAGTTGTTTTATTTTGTTCGAGTTTTATATGATTTTTGGTCGCGCTGCTGAGTTTTGTTTACGCTACACGCTCAATCCGCCAAAAAAACAAAAACTGTTGCATAATCAATGCGAAATTTTTGTCGCTCACATGCCCAAGGACTGCCAAGGACTAATACTAACAGGTCCTATAGCCTGCTTACCCATGACCATATCAGGTATAAAAATATATTATATATATCTGTATAGGTGTTTGTAACTGTATTTTGGCTCGTATTCGTGCATATGGCAACTGCTGCGCTTGGCACGGAACACAACATTACGTATACGGCCTGTTGGCATTGTCCTTTGCTTTCTTATTCTTATTGTTTTTTTTTTCTTTTTTGATCTCTGTCCATAAAGAGACCAGAAGGCAAACGTAAGTAAGCCAGGTAAGCAGTTGAGGGCGGGCATTGCCATCCGAGTTTGGGCTAAAGTATTGGGCATGCCGAATGACAATGCCAAGTTTTTTTTGTTTTGTTTTTCCTGTACCAGTCAGCGAGCGTTCGATTTGTTTATCTTCGAACGTTCAACGTCAATTGTGCTTCTTATTGTTTTTCTGTTTTTTTTTTTTTTTTTTTGTCGCTTGTTTATATTTATTTTGAATGCGTCATTCGTCGCGCTTTGTGGGCTCGGTCTTAGTCCGTGTCTCGCGCGCGATTTCCGACTCATTTCAATCATTACCCGAAATCCAAATAGGCCCTGTTTATACTCTATCCTCTATGCCTTATCGACCAGATCAATCATGATCATCATCAAATGAAATGTTCTCCGACTGATGTCGGTTTTCGATTTCGTCAATTTGTCTCTTTAATTGCACTAACTGCAGTTAATTTTATAGACATATAATCTAAATTTATATATACGCTACTTTATTTCCATTACGCATTCAACTGTAACCCTCTTTCTAGCAATTCCAATAATTGTTAACAAAATGTGTCGCCTTTGTACCTCTCCCGCAGAGTCGTAAATTCCTTATAAATATATTTCCACCTAAGCTGCTTATTAATAATTATTATCGTAATGCCAATCATTTTTATTGAACGCGCACAGTGGGCATATATTAGCAATTTGATATATAAATACAAAGCTAGAGCTTAGACTATATTTCTGTGGACTTTCTCAGCATTTAGCTAAAATAAAATGGTTTTCAAATAAGTCGAAGATTTCTAGTAATGTCCACTGTACCGAATATAAATATCATGAGGTGTAACAAAGTTATTAGCAGGTTTTGGTTGTATATATATAAATATATATGATTATTAGACTATCTGTATATCCTGTAATATTATATATTATTATATTTATTTGAATTGTTTGACAATGCACTTATAGCTAAATTTTGTTATCCCACATTTATTGCACAATCGCACTAATGTTTTGATGAGCCCATCTCTATTTACATAAGATACAGTATTCCTCTTAGCGCAACCAATTTGCCACCTAATGTGACCCAACCAAGACCAACCGCTTAAGAGCGCCTTAAAAGCATTTGATAATTGAGCTGCAAAAGCGCACTCAAGCGGGGAATAACAGCTACAGGGTGCACTGAGCAAGTATGTTATTGAATAAACAGAGTGTACAAAGTACATGTGTGCATTAGTCCAATGGCATTGACAAGGAAATTGTAAATAATTGGATAGCAGCAGGGTAGAGTTGGGGGGGCCAGCAGAGCACGGACCAGCGCTGACAATTAATCAGTTGTGGGAGGTGCACAAACATATACATATACTTACATATACATATATGTATGTACATATACACAGATAGTCCATATGTAGGGCATGTTTGTGGGCTATCATGCACCTGGTCTAACAGAATATAAAGCTAGGCCTTGGTTTTGCCATTTAACTTGGAATTCTGCACCAGCCCACATATATGTATATATGCAGGTGTATATGTTTTTATGTATGTTGCTTTTGTCTCTTTTTATTCGTAACTCTTTTATTTATGCACATCAATTCTTAATGCCTTGAACTGCACGTAGAATAGAAAAGCTTAAAAAAAATAAAATAAAACAACAACAAAATGCACATTTTCGTTTAATTCTAAACATCGCTCAGCTAGCAACTATAACTGGCATTTGAATGGCGTCAACTTACAGTTAGTTTGTTGTTTTGCTCTCTCTTTCTTATGCGCTGCTACTCAGCTGTGATGGCGGCGGCGGCTTCTGCAGAGTTTTGTTAGCACAGCCATTGCACAAGCTGTGAAGGTTACGTTTGATACGTTACCCACACAGCTACGTACGTGTGTGTGTGTGTGTGTGTAATTCTTTTATATCCTACATAGACACAGTCTATTTGAGTGTGTGTTTAGCTTGTGCTCAATAATACTACTATTGTATAACAGCCAAAACTAACAGTTATATTATTAGTAAAGATCTATACAGCGCTTGGAACTTAACTGCACGCCCACWTAGGCGCACACACACACATAAACGGCTTTAGCGACTTTTACAAAATGAAAACACCCAAAAGAAAAGCCAAAGCCATTAAAAATGTTTTCACACACACACGAAAATACGCACGCATACGTACGAAGTGGGAGAGGGGTATAAGTTAAGCAGAAAAAATGCGGCAGTCAGTTCTGTATGTGTGTGCGGCAGGTAACTCTACGAGCGTATATATATACATATATGCAAGCTTACATGTGAATGTGTGTATATGTGTATGTATTGATATAAAAACCAGAATGTTTAAGTTTAATATTTACGCACTTTTCTCAATGAATACAACTCGTTTCACAATTTACGCACTTCCCAGCAATTGATGCCTAGTTGCTGCTGTTGTTTTTTTGCACGCACTTTTTGTTGCTTTATTGCTTTAACTTCACTTTGTGCACTTTTTATATTTTGGTGTTTATGTGTATGTTTTATAGTGTTTTGTGTGTATGTGTGTGTGTTGCAAATTAAACTGGCGCAAACACGTCTCTACTACCCACCGCTCGTCACGAATTCACGTTCGACACTGAAAGCTCGAGTTGAGACTTTTGCCAGCAAAAGCCAGTTAGCGCTAAAAAATGACAAATTTGGTTAACCATAGTGGGAAACAAAGAAATACCAACAAGCCAAGTGACAGAAAGCTGGTTGGCATATGTTTATATATTGTAAAAGCTTTGGCTATTTAGCGCGCAGGTGTGCCCAAATTTCATATACTATAAACATAATACTACTTTTTGCTAGTATATAGACTTACTATGGCGCGTAAACTTTAACGTAATTTGAATACTGAAATAAGCTTTATACCTATTATGTGCTTGATTTGCACACTGTGTTTATATTTAGTAACTTTGAAAATATACGAATCACCAAACATGATTTATGAAGTCTTTTTATATATATCAGATATTTACCTTGCAACTTTATCAACACAGCCGGGTTCAAGTCACGCAGGGCAAAGGCCAATGATTCGACATTAGTTGTCGCCTGAGTTGTTGTTGTTGTGGTTGAATTTGCTTTGACCAAACATGACGTTATACAATAAACAAGAAAGGAAAATGTTTGAGCGAGGCGAAGGCGAAAGTGAGTTCCCAGCTGCAGTTGAAGATGCAGCTGCACTCAGTATACCGTTAGCTATAACTGTCATAATCAGCAAATATTCCAAAAGACAAAAAAAAACCCCAATTGGAAAGGAGGAAGCACAACGTGAACCGGCGTAACCAATGATAAATAGCCAATGGCTAGCCAGGAGCGCGGTAGGGGTGGCAGATTGAGAGAGAAGGAGAGGGAGATAGAGACGTCGCCTGTCATTCGTGAAATAAATAAATGCAATTTGTAAATTATATTTTATATTTTTTTGTATTTTTCGTTGGTTTTATACTTTTTAGGTATTTTTCTTGGTTTTTTTTATTGAAATTCCTTACGATCGCAAGAAGCGCACAGAAGTAATATGTATATGGTAAATTGTTGTTGTAGATACATACATAATA